GATCTCTTTTTTCATACACTGAAAATCTTGGTTCTCAAGTAATGACTTGAGCATAATATTTGTCATATTGTATACATACAATAATTTAAAATAAAAATTTACTATCACTTCTTTTTGTTTTTTTATCAGAGAGAGAGAGATCGAGAAAACACAAGCAGGGGGAACAGGAGGCAGAAGAAGAAGCAGGCTCCCAGCTCAGCAAGGAGCCTGATGCAGGACTCGATCCCAGGACCTTGGAATCATGACCTGAGCCGAAGGCAGTCACTTAACTGACTGAGCCACCCAGGCATCCCAGAATAATTTACTATCGCTTATAACAATAAGATTAAGAAATGTAATTTGAAATTATTTTTGGTTTTTGTCCTTTGGATATAGCCAAGTGGGAAGTACAAATTTTAACTATAGGCATACCCTGTCAACCCTGCCATCTTCTTCAAAATGTTAGAGTTAAGTTAGGAGAACTTAATATCCTTTTTATAGAATATATGCATTTTAATATATATTCTTTTAATTCAATTATTTTAGCTGAATGCTTACAAATTAAAAAAAAATAGAGTCCCTGAACCAAAAAAACAAAAAGGCAATATATGCACAGAAATATTTTTGAACTACGTTGAAAATAAAATTGCAGAACTTTGGATCTCTTTTTCTCTGAAAAGCATGCAGAGTTTCAGTGAGAGCATCTGAGACGTTGTTAGCTTTAAGGCAACTCAGGGTCACACTCAGTGAGAGTTGTCTGACATTTTGTATTTGTTCTCAATGTGTTTGTTCAATGCTTTTTAATTTAGCCCTTGTTTTTAATATCTCTTGAACCATATTTGAACTCAAAAACATTGAGAAGATGTGTTGAATAAATGCAAATGAGAATATAATAGTCTTTTGATAAAGGAGCACATTGCAAAACAATAATATGCATGCAGAATATGCCAATTACCACAGTGCATGCTATCATAAAGAGTGAACAAGAAGTTATGTAGATAGAATTTGATAGTAAACTGCATAGTACAAAAGAAACACCTAATTATGTGATAGAAAAACTTGTGAAATAACTAGTAAAATGGATGAAGAGTCTGAGTGATAGTAACATCCCTTCCTTCACTTGTTGGTTCAGAGGAAGGTAACGATCTTGCTTGAGAAGCTGATGATGGAGGTTGTGGAGAAGAGTCATGAGTCAGCAAAGAAGTTGATATTAAAAACAAGCCTCATATGGCTGAATAGATTCACGAGTTGTGTCATGGTCCATAACAAAAATGGTGAAGGGAGCCACATAGTTGATATTGAAGCAATTATATATAACTGTCTCATTTATAAAACTTTATTGTAATGAATGAGACAATATCAATAAATATTTTCTAGGTATATGAAGTAAGTTTGTTTGAAAAGCACTGTCCTTTCTGTGTTTCATATCACAGCAGAGGAAGTGTTTGGTCTCAAATAATTAAGGGACAAGCTGACTTCCATGTTTAGGGTAAACTGTAAGATGCTAAGTTAAAAATCTTATAAGAGCAATATTACAAAAACTTCTAAATAGTCAAAGAAAAGATCAAAAGAAAATCACCAATTATCTGGAGATTAAATTACAGTGTTTAGGCAAAGAAAGAGGATTTTCTGGTCTAAGTAAAATAGTTTTCCCGACATAATGTATTACACAGCAAACATATCACAAAGGAGGCCCTGTGCGACAGTGACAGTTCTCTTACACATATGGCCTATTTTTTTCAGCATAGTTAAAAATTCCAAAAATTTTCACTACTCTGAATCCATGGATCTCAGGGTTATTACATGCTTTCAAGGCATGTCTACTTATTGCTTATACACTATCTCCCAGTATGTGTGTTCTAACCAGGAAGTTTCACTGGAGGTCTTTGAAAGAATCTTGGCTTGTAAACAGATCTCTACACTTAATTGGGAAAACTCGGTAAAGATTTTCTCCACAAATAATGAATGTTATATAGATGAAACTATCCCTGTATAGTGTTCCCTTTCCCAAGACTAAAATGATTTTAAACACAGAAAAATGTTCTTGAAAATGAGCCTGGGTTTGAAGAACTTGATGAAAGAGATGTAGGCAGGCTTGAAAGCTCATCTCTAAGAAAATAACAACTACTGAATTTGTTCAGTCAGAACATGATGAGAATAAAGCCAATAGGGAGCAGCCAATCAAACCATCAATAGTTAAAAAGAATTATGAATCTCTTTCTACGATTCTGATGCATTGAATATGGCTGTGAGGCGTGTTTCTGACCTGGGTAATCAGGCAGTCAGAGTTGGAAGGATATAACCTTAGGTAGGAATGTGATTAATTGAGTTTTAGCCACATTGAATTATAAATTTCTTCATATTATCTATATATTATAATTGACTACACAGTGTTGAAGGTCCAGATGAGTTCAGATAGAAATTAAGTAATATAAACAGAACATTTTACTGATTAACATTAAAAAATAAAATTATATTGGGGTGCTTGGTTGGCTCAGTCAGTTAAGTGCCTGACTCTTGAATTCGGCTCCAGTAATGATCTTAGGGTTGTGAGATCAAGCCCCGTGTCGGGCTCCATGCTCTCTCTTCCTCTTCCTCTGCCTTTTCCCACCAAACTCTCTAAAAAAATTTTTTTTTAATTTAAAAAATAAAATTATCTGAAAGATTGTGGTTATCTAAGGAATTTCTGTAGAATGAGAAAAAAGATGTCATAGGACAATATATACAATATCAACATTTGAGGCTCAGAAAGAAAAGCAAGTGCACAAAGGAAACTAAGAGAGATGAGATGAAATTTTAGGAAGAAAACAAAACCATCCTAGAGATGGAGTTGCATGGAAGCTTCTATAAACTAAATGTTTGTGTCTCCCTCCCCCCCCCTTACCCATAATTTATATGTTGAAACCCTAATTCTCAATGTGATGATATTAGGAGGTAGGGCCTTTGGGAGATGATTAGGTCATGAGGGTGGAGTCCTCATGAATGGGGTTAGCACCTTCATGAAAGAGACCTCAAGTTCTTACAGCTCTCTTCTATGTAAGGGTTAAAGAAGAAGATGGTCATTTGCAAACAGGAAATAGGCCCTTCCAAACATCCAATTGGCTGGCACCTTGATTTTGGATTTCCCAGCTTCCAGAATTTGGGGAAATAAATTTCTGTTTTTTATAAGTCACGCTGTCTATGGTATTCTGTTACAGCAGCCCAAACAGACTAAGACGGAAGGCAACAAAAACTGTTTTTATGTGATGCCATGAGACTAGGTCTAAAGGACTGAGGAACATACAATTTATTGACATGTGACCTCAGCAAAGACATTTTTAATAGAATGAAAGCAACATGATTTTCAAAGTGTTTACAATCTAGTTCCAGTCTTGTTTTCCAAAGTTATCACCCTTTATTTCCTTATAAAAACTATTTATTCCAACAAAACTGATACAAATCGAGATACTTAGATGAAAGTATAAATCAGCAATGTCAAAGTGCTTTACCTCTTATCATTCCAGAATCATGCATAAGTGAGAAATGGCATGCCCTTCTTTTTTCTTTGCCTGTTAAATACCTACCTATTCTTCAAAAGGTAGCTCAGTGTTGTTTTTTGCATGCTACATTCCTATCTTCAAAGCTAAATTTGTTCTCATCTTTTTCTGAAAAAACTATAAACATTAATTGTCATAAGTTCAAGATGTAAAATATATTTGCTATATAGTATTTTACCTCTTCCGTAGTATTTTAAAAACAGAAAAATATATATATATAAAATATAACTATTGCTCTATAGTCTTTGATTACTCCATAGTGCTTTTCAGTGTCTTAGAATAACAGCATTAAGATATTTATTGATTGCTAATGACCATATTCTTTTAATACACTTACTCAACACACAAAATTAAGGAAGAGACATTTTATATAATGTGACATATTCTTGATCTTACTTTTACTTTTTCATAACTTAAAAATGTTGGAAGTCAGTTCCTTTTTATTGATAAATATTATAATAGTTCATAAAAGCCATGCAACTTTGAAGTTGTGATCTTATAAAAAATGGCTCTATAAAATAAATAAAAATGTAAATAACAAAATCTCTTCTATATTAGGTGATTCACATTATACAAATAAAACCAATCCATAGTTTAAATGTTCCAACTCTTTATGTTGGACCATCAGTATATCTCATGTAAGGAACAGAGCTTGTAGGGAAAAGAAAATTAAGAAATGGGACAATAGACTTCCCCAGCATTATATGCTGTAAATGATGAGCCAAAGCTTTCAATTCTTTGAGAAAAGTGAGTTTTCATTCCACTTTTAAAAGCATTTTAAATAATAAAATAATATTTCACAAAATGTTTTCCTCTTTTAAACATGAAGTGTTATGACAGTGAATGTATTACATGTATGTGTGTTTATCTGCCATGTATTACTGAATATATGATTCATGTTTGTGTATGTGTATCTGTATGTCTGTGAATATATACTAAACCAATAAAAACTGAAGCCTAATATGAAATATTGTAATTGTTGTTTCACATTCTTACAAAGTACATATTAGTAATTATGTTTGATTTAGATTCTGCACTAGGATATACACCATGTTTAATTTTTTTTAGAGGGATAATACAATCTTAGTGGTTGAATAAAATAAAATTCAAATTCTGGATAGCTTTGTTTTCAACTTGAGGTGATCAAATCTTCTTTAAAACCTAGTCTCTCTATTTTGTCTTAATAATTACATTTTTTCTTTAGGTCTCCAGTTGAGTTTGGCTAGTAGCCAAAAGTACTGGCAAAAAGGCTTCAAGATAATGAGGACTGAGTATTTACTCCCCCACCTTTCTTGGTCCTGGATTTCCTGGGTTGGCTGCCTCCTTTCACCAAAGGACAAAGTTCTGGTGGGAAGCAGAGAGCTCACACATACTCCACATATTCTCTTCTGGTTCAGATTATAACTCTCTGCCATTGCCCCACCCCACTCCCTTTTTGAAATCTAGATGTAGATAAAAAACTCCCAGTTTTGGCTCTCTACTCCTCCCCGTTTGACAGACAGCCGCATCTTCTGGTGCAGTGTCAGCCGCGTCCCTGAGACACGATGGTGAAGGTCGGAGTGAATGGATTTGGCCATATTGGGCGCCTGGTCACCAAGGCTGCTTTTAACTCTGGCAAAGTCGATATTGTCACCATCAATGACCCCTTCATTGACCTCAACTACATGGTCTACATGTTCCAGTATGATTCTACCTATGGCAAATTCCATGGCACAGTCAAGGCTGAGAACGAGAAGCTTGTCATCAGTGGAAAGTCCATCTCCATCTTCCAGGAGCGAGATTCCGCCAACATCAAAGGGGGTGATGCTGGTGCTGAATATGTTGTGGAGTCCACTGGAGTCTTCACCCACATGGAGAACGCTGGGGCTCACTTGAAGGGTGGGGCCAAGAGGGCCATCATCTCTGCTCCTTCTGCTGATGCCCCCATGGTCGTGATGGCTTGTGAACCATGAGAAGTATGACAACTCCCTCAAGATTGTCAGCAATGACTCCTGCACCACCAACTGCTTGACTCTTCTGGCCAAGGTCATCCATGACAACTTCGGCATTGTGGAGGGACTCATGACCACCGTCCATGCCACCACTGCCACCCAAAAGGCCGTCTGGGAAGGTCCACCCAGAAGGCCCCTCCTGGGAAGCTGTGGCCCGACAGCGGAGGGGCTGCCCAGAACACCATCCCTGCTTCCACTGGTGCTGCCAAGGCTGTGGGCAAGGTCATTCCTGAGCTGAACGGGAAGCTCATTGGCATGGCCTTCCGTGTCCCCACCCCCAACGTGTCCATCATGGATCTGACTTGCCACCTGGAGAAACCTGCTAAATATGACGACATCAAGAAGGTGGTGAAGCAGGCATCAAAAATTCTTTATTTTTTTTTTTTAACAAGAGACTATATATTTTCATTTGGCACTGAGCCCTGCAAATTATGTAATCTATCCTGACTCCATCAGTTCAGAGATGCTTTTCTTTATTCACTCATGTGTCTTGGCTCCTAAAATAGTAACTGATTATAAGTAGGCATTTAGTTAATATTTGTTAAATTAAACTGTGTGCTTCAGGCTCAGATAAAAGCCTCCAACTGCACAGTGATGTGCTAATCTGCACCATCTCCATTTCTAGCCCTATTTTAATAATACGACTTTCTTTTCCTCAAAATAAAGAAAGGGGTAGATGAGTATAATATCTTTGAAACAGTTGATACTGCTTTGTTTATTAAAATCTAGAAGTGAAAAATATACTGCTTTCAGTTATAGAGTTAAAAAATGCAGGCTGTCTTCTTATTCAGAGAAGAGTGTTCTTCTTTATTTAATTCAACAACGCAATAAAGCTTTAGAAACATTATCTCATTCTGTCTTCTTACATGATTCATGTTTTTAATTGGTGGCTGTTTACTTGAGTTTTCCAGGATCACATCATCAGATTTAATCTTTATTCTCTTTTTAACTCTCTTTGACAGTTTCCTTATACTCAAGAACTTGGCTAGCTATTTATGAATACTATCAAAAATTTGTAACCTCCCCCAGGGAACTCTAGACAAATACATAACCATTCTACTAATGTATTTTGTTAGATGTTTCATAGACACCCAGATCTCAGAAATCCAAACTTTATTTATTATCCCATGTGCTGTCTGACCCCATTAAACATACACCTGTTCCCACAGAATTTTGTTTGTTGATTATATAAACATCTATCAATTGGTGGCAGTTTGATAACACAGATGTGTTACTTTCCCAAAACAAAAATTTTAAATTGAAGTTTTTCAACTGAAAAAGTTAAAGTAGGAAATATTTCAGGTTCATAATTATACCCAGAATGATTCTTAGACTTAAGTATTTACTGTTGTAGAACCTCCAAATGCCATTATATTTCAGTTGAAGAATCAAAAATGATTAAATCTTAACACTTTTTATCTTTATTTTTGTTTATTATTTATCTGAATAATAAAAATAATAAATAATATTTATCTTTAGACAGACTATATAACTCTGAAGAATAAAGCATAAAATCTCATGTAAAAGATAATCTTGGATATATGTCTGAACAAGAGGAAATAAGAGGGAACAGATTTACCTTTCCACATGAAACAACTAACTTGTGTAGATAAATGCAAAATACTATGCTTTCAAACCTTTTTTCAAGTAAGTGACTGTTTACAGCAAAATACATACATACATACACACATACACACATACATACGATTTTTGTGGGACTAATAAAAAACACAGAGATAAACTGTCTGAGAACAAATGGCAGAAAAGCCAAGAGAGGATGGACATATTCTGCTCTGAGTTTTAAATACTATTTGCGAAGGGGTATAATATATATTGAATATATATTGAAGGTAGAATGAATTGATTTAAAGATATATACTATAAAATTTAAGGACTCGCTAAAAGGGCAAAACAATTTCTGCTAAATAATGAACAAATGAGCGAAAATGGTGTCATGAAAAAAAATCAATAATCTAAAGGAAATTGGTAAAGAGGAAAAAAGAAAAACATAGGTCAAATAAACAGTAAATGACAAGACATAAGATTTAAATCTAACTATATGAATAATTACCTCAAATATAACTGGTTTCAAATCCCCAGCTAAAAGGCAGAGACTATCAGATTAAATAAAAATGCAAGACTTGATTATGTGCACTTAGAAAAACAAAGAGGGTGCCTGGGTGGCTCAGTTGGTTAAGCAACTGCCTTTGGCTCAGGTCATGATCCTGGAGTCCCGGGATCGAGTCCCGCATCAGGCTCCCTGCTCGGCGAGGGGCCTACTTCTCCCTCTAACCCTCCCGGCTCTCATGTACTTTCTCACTCTCTCAAAATAAATAAATAAATCTTTAAAAAAAAAGATAGAAAAACAAAGAAACAAATAAAAACCCCAAACATTTAAATATAAAGATACTGATAGGTTATAATTCAAAGTATGGAAAAAGATAAATTGTGCTCTTATCAAAAGCAAGTTGGAGTATCTATATTCTTTTTTTTTTTTTAGAGTATCTACATTCTTATTAAAAGAAAATTGGAGTGGCTCAGACAATGAAAAGCTGGAAATTGAAATAAAACATACTATTTACAACAGTATAAAAATGTGGAATTCTTAGGAATATATTTAACAAATATGTAGGTATATATTTGACCAAAGGCATAACTTTTACATTGACTACTACGAAACAAACATTGCTGACAGAAATGAAAGAAGACCTAAATAAATGGAGAGATATACTATGTTAATGGGTCAGAAGACTCAGTGTAATTAAAACATTAATTCTTTCAAAATTGACCCATAGGTTCAAGTCAATCCAGTTAAAATACAAGCAGGCTTATTTATAAATGTTGAAAAGTTAAAATGTATGTGGAAGTGCCATGTACCTGAAATAGTTCAAGTAATGTTGAGAAGATTAATAAAATTTTAGAACTTAAAGTACCTTACCTCAACACTTCTTATATAGCTACAGTTACAACGTTTTTGTGAGATGGTACTAAAAATAGACACATAAATCAGTGGAACACAATAGTCCCACATATATATCAGCAACTGGTTTTTGATAAGCATGCCAAGGCAATTCAATTTGAAAATGATAAGTTGGTCATCAAATGGTACTGGAACAATTGGATAGCCTATGCCACATTAAAAAAAATGTTGGTACTTACCTTATACCATATTCAAAATTTAACTTGGGCTTTTCATGTTACATCCATATCTGTATTCATATCTTATTTGTCTCACTTTCAAGTGTATCATGGCAAATGTGCAGGGCTTTTTGTGAATAATGTGCTAGGATTTGGCAAAAGAGGAGAAAAAACAAACAAGAAAAACCTTTTGAGTTTGTCCTAGAACAAATAAAACTTAATTCAGAAAAAAATAAATATGTGCAGCATCAGTATAAACGTAAGAATAAAAAAATTAAATATCTAGGCAAAATTTAGGAGAAAGTTTTGATAATTTGAGCTTTGGTAAATAATTTTAAAATATGACTTAAAACGTGAAAAATAAAAGAAAAAATCAATGAATTGGATTTCATAAAAAAATGAGAATGGAAGAGACAGACATTGTCCCCTTTGTAAAACATATTTGTAACAAAAAATTGTATGTAGAATATATAAAGAATTACTATAACTCAAACAATAGAAAGCAAACGACCAATTTTATTAAATGGACAAAAGATTTGAATCACAAAGGAAAATATATTGATTGTAAATAATCAATCACATACGAAGGTGTCAACATAATTAGTCAAAAAAGAATTGTAAATTAAAACCGCAATTGGATTCCACTACACACATATTTGAATGACTAAACTTAAAATGATTGATCATACCAAGTATAGCAAAACTGACGCATACTACCATTGTCATGCACTGCTGGTGGGAAGACAAACAGATAAGACAGCTTTGGAAAATATATCCTGGCATTCCATACACAGGTATTTACCCAAGATAAATGAGCATATGTCCACACAAAAAGTTGTGCAAATATGTTCATACAGGTTTGTGTCCATAATGCAAAAACTGGAAATAGCCCAAAAGTCTATTAATAGATAAATAGATAAACAAAATTTGGAGTATTAATACTAGAGGATGCTACTCAGCAATAAAGAAATATTGAATATATGTAACAATATGAATGTATCTCAGAAAAAGTATGCTGAGTGAAAGGAGAAACAAAAGAGTTGATTATTATTCCACTTATACACATTTCTAGAAATAAAGATTTGTTTATTAACAACAGAAAGTGTATCAGTGGCTGCCTAGGAATGGAGGAGTGCTTGGGAAGAAAGCAATTTGGAAAAATTATAAAGAGGCGTGAGGAAAGATTTGGAGTGTACGGATATGTTCACTGTCTTGATTTTTATATGGTTTCATGGGTGAATCTAACGTCAAAATTTATGAATTAGTTCACTTTTAACTATGTGTAGTTTAATCACATGTTAATTATTCAATAAAGGATTTGAAAATGTCAGTAGCTACTTGAGGCTAGGTTATTAAATTTAGAAGAATGCTCTCAAAGAATACTTCTCACTATCGTACACTATTTGTATAGACATGTGAGATCTCACTAA